GATAGTTTCCCGTTGTGGATCTGAGCTCCTGTGATAGTTTCCTATCCCCGATTTGAGATCCTGTGATAGTTTCCCATCCTGGATCTGAGCCCTTCCTGGGGATGGGTTGACTCACCTACCCCAGAACTCACCCGAAGGCCCCAAGAGAAACATTCTCTGGGCAAAAATTCCCTGATTTCCCCAGGGAAAGGCATGTTCCGTTGCTGCTGTGAGTGTTAAACAAAGTCCCCTCCCAGCCTGGCCCCTCTCCCTCCCCTCTCCTCATCCATCTGCAGGATTATCGAGCCCGGTTTTGGAGTTAGTGGTGTGTTGAAAACGCTCTGCTCTTCCCTTTATCACTCTCAGATCAGCTCATCGGGTGGGAATCCATCAGGGAAAGTAATGGGAGAGGCTGTGCTGATCTATGGCTCCGTGTTCCTGGATCAATCCAGCTCTTCCAGCCCCTCCAGTGCGGGAGTTGTGCAGATCCAGTGCTGGGGTTGCTCAAATTCCTTCTCTTAAACCACCAGATTAATCAACTCTTCCCATTCCTGTAAGGATTTTATGATGGAGATGCCCTGGATGGGATAAAATCCAGATCCAGCTGAGCCAGAAACAAGGTGGAGCCTGAATTCCTCTTGGGAACTCAACTCCTGACTGGAGTCACTTGCTGACATTTATTACATTTATATTTGAGTGGATTTAGGGGTTAGGAGCAGCCAAAACCCGGATTTGGGCTTTAAAACCACCACGTCCCAAAATTTAGCTGCTACTGGGGTGCAACTCAGCAGGTGCCGAGGTGGTTCATCCACCCAGAGCCAGGATTCAGGACCAGGAGCTGTTTTTCCAGCTGTTTTCCCACCTCGACCTCCCCAGTCACCCTCTTCCCACGCCCTGTGCGGATCCAGAGGGAAGAGCACCACCTACTGAGTCTCCCTCACCTCTTCCTTCCCTCTTTTTCCTTATTTTCAACCTGTTTTATTCCCATTTGTGTTCTGAGCCGGCCTTTGCTCCTCCCTGGAAAAAGCAGGAGCAGTTGGAATCTGAGCAACCCTCCAGATCTCTCCAGACATTCCTGCTTGATCCCCTTTTTTCCTGCTAAGCTGCTCTGTGTTAACGGGACTCGCTTTCCTTGGGATCTTTCTGCTTCCTGCCTTTGGGAATTAACAGCTCCTCCCCGAATCCAGGTTTTCTCTTGGAGCAGGTGTGGGAAATGGAATAAAAGAGATCAGTTTTGACTCCAAATCCAAGCTAAATTGTCAGAATTTGACTCCTAAAGAACAAACAGATGCACAAATTCATTCCTATAAATGTATTTATACATATGTGGATGTACAAATGTTGTGTTTTTTCCAAGGATTTGGGGAATTAAGAGAAGATTTTCAGTTCTCCCCCTACCACAACCTTCCCTTTTAATATTGACCAAACCTTTTAAAAAAACCCTTGAAAGCAGGTTGGGATAAAACCCGGAGAAATCTCCTTGGGAATAGTTTTAATTGGGAGCTTACCCAACTTTTTAAGGATAAAGCTCAGCCCAGCTTCTCTAACGTTCTCCCCGAGCCCTTCATTTGCAACCGAGGCAAAATTAAACTAATTAAATGTTCTTTCATTATTTTTCCCTCTTTAGTTTGGTCTTCGGCACCGTGGAAGTGACTTTGTGTTTCTCCCAAGGGATATTTTGGGATCATTTACAAAGCAGGTTCCTCAGCACCCTGAGTCACTTCACCTTCCCCCAACCAAACCATCTCAACCCCGCGGAGATCGAGGAGGCTTGATGGGATTTGGGAATGTGGGAATGAGGAGATCTGGCTCCTTGTTGTTCCACAATCTTCCCTGTTTTCTTTTTTGAGCTCCACGGGAACCTGAGGGGCACCAGATCTTTCTGTGGAGGAAAATAAACCTCCGTGGCCTCCCCGTGGATCAAATTCTGGGGCTGGGAGGAAGGGTTGGGAAAACATGGGAATGTTCAGCCCCGAAAACGGAGGGAGGTGGGATAACAGGCCACAATTATGTAAAAGGCTCCTGCAGGAAGGGGAGGGACACGTTTCCCTGTGGACAGGACAAGGAATAAGGAGCTTAAGAAGCAGCAAAGGAGATTTAGAGCTGTGGGGATCGAGAAGGGCCGGGATTAATCGCTGGGAGGAGGGGAAGGGTGGTGTCCCCAGGGCTGGAGGTTGGGAGGACAAATGTGTCAAGAAGGGCTTAAGGAGCATGGATTCACCCACGGGACGGGAGACAGGGAAGATAAACATCCACCTGGACGTCTTTTCCAACGTTTTGGCTGGCTCAGCAGGCAGGATGGGATGTCTGCGGTGGGCTGGTGGGTTTGGTACCCGGGGGTTTCTCCTTTGTGATGCTCCTGCTCATTCCTTGGTGTGAGCCATGTGGTGTCACATTCCAACCATTTCCCTGCTCATTCCCTTGCTCAGGTCCACAGATCCCGAGGTGACCTGGCAATGTGTGGTGTGGGTGTTCATGGAATCACGGGATAGTTTGGGTTGGAAGGGACCTTCAAGGTTGTCCAGTTCCAACCCCTCATTCCGTGGGCAGGGACACCTTCCCACTATCCTGGGTTGCTCCAACCTGGCCTTGGACACTTCCAGGGATGGGGCAGCCACAGTTTCTCTGGGAAACAGAGTTGTGCTGCATCTCAGCCTCTCTCCTCACCTTGTGCTTCCACCTTGACCTGCACCTTGGGAGCTGGAGAGGCTTTGGGGCGGGAAGCCCCGGCGTCGATCCTGTCGCCCTGAGGCAGCGAATTCGCTGAGGGATCAGAAGTGGGGGAAAATAAACCAGAAAAACTTGAGAAAGCTCTCTTGCTTCCTTCCAGTAATTCCCAGGGAGAGGTGTCAGCCATGATTTCCAGAAGCCACACGCAGCAGAAAGCAGAGGATTGCTGGCAGCCCTGATGAAGTTACTGCCGGGTGGTGATTGGGTTACGGGATCCTCCGGGAGCGGCCGGCGAGGTGATGGACTGAAAGCAGAACGGCAACTAAATTGCATTTCATTTCAATTTGGCCATAAATTTGATGATTTCGTCAGATAAGGAGCAAAGGGGGAAGGGAGGAGGGGGAGAGAGGAGGAGAGGGAGGGAGGGATCTCTGGGTAGGGAGGGAGGGAGGGAGAAGGGGACATGAGCGGTGACATCGTTCCCATCACGGGTCGTTAATCAGGAGCGTCAAAGGCCTTGTGGGTGGGATGCACATCACCTACTCCCTGCAGAGAGGTCACTGAACTGGGAAGGGCTGGGAATAAGGGTTGTTGAACTGCCCTGGGATTTATGGGGCGGGATGTGGTGGGTGAAGAGGGCAGATGGAGCGCTGTTCCCACTTCCGTGGGATGCTCCACTCAGCAGCTGCGGTTTGTGTCCCCTGAGTCACCTGCTCCAAGTGGGGACGTGGCAGCGGGGCTGGAGGTGCTATCAGGCTGCAGCAAGGGCTGGAGGACGAGCCAGTGAGACTTCCCAGCTCTGGATGCCACCTGGAGGGAGCTGGGCAAGCTCAGGAAGTGGGAATCTCATGTGGTTTAATAAGACCAAGTGTTGGTGCTGCCACTGGGTCAGGGAAGTCCTCGGGATCAGTCCAGGGGAGGAGCAGATGGAGCCCAGGGGAGAAGGATTTGGGGGTGCTGGGGGGTGAGAGGCCGGACATGAACCAGCCCAGAATCAACCCCCCATGTCCTGGGCTCATCCCACAGTGTGGGAAACAGGAGAGGGGGGATTCCACCCCTCTGCCCCCTCAGGTGAGACCCCCCTGCAGAGCTGTCTCCAGCCCTGGGGAACAGCACAGGAAGGACATGGAGCTGCTGGAGAGAGTCCAGGGGAGGCACCAGGATGATCAGAGGGATGGAGCAGCTCTGCTGGGAGGAAAGGCTGGGAGAGTTGGGATTGTTCAGCCTGGAGAAGAGAAGTTTTGGGGTGATCTGACTGTGGTCTTCCAGGATCCAAAGTAGCTACAAGAAGGATGGAGAGAGACTGTTTACAAGGGCCTGGAGAGACAGGACAAGGGGAATGGCTTCAGACCGACAGAGAGGAGGTTTGGATGGGATATTGGGAAGAAACTGTTGGCTGTGAGGGTGGGGAGGCCCTGGCACAGGTTGCCCAGAGAAACTGTGGCTGCTCCATCCCTGGAAGTGCCCAAGACCAGGTTGGATGGGGCTTGGAGCAACCTGGGATAATTGAAGGTGTCCCTGCCCATGGCAAGGGATTGGAACAGGATGATCTTTATGGTGCCTTCCAACCCAAACCATTCCATGATTCCATGATTTTATAGCATCAATCAATACGTGGATTGAAAGGAAATGCTGCACTATTTCCTTACCTTGCTGGTGCCTCCATGATGGGATGATCTACTCCCTGACAGGCTGACATTTCCTTCTGGATACTGGGACCTCAGGAGCTCTTGGTGCAACATGTCATTTTTAGGCCAGGTCGTGACATCTCTCAGCATTGCTGCTTCCTTCTGACAACATTCCAGCCCTTCTGGCTTCATTAGGGCTTCCATCCCAAACTGAGGATACCCTTGGATGTCTCAGCAAGGTTCCATCATCTCATTTTGCTGTGCCTTGCAAAGTGGGGAGATTTTCATCCCAGCTGGATGAAGGACTCGTCCTCAGGGACAAGACCACGAGGAATCTTGGTGGGATATGTGGCTATCTCATAATTTGGGGTAAGATGATGGTGTGATGCCCCACTCTTAATTTCCACAACCAAGAGCTTGCCATTCCCTGAAAAATGATGGATGGGGCTGGATATGTCCAGTTGCAGTTAAACATTTCCACAATTCAGACACAGGAGGCTGAATCAACTTCAGATGGAGAATTTCTCCCCGAGTCCTTCTCCTGGAAGTGAGTCTGAGACCCTTCTGATCCCAGGCTTATCCCAGAACTTCAAACACAGAACTGCAGCTTCCCAGCCCTCTGGAGCTTCACTGTGCAGTTCTGGAAGGACTCCCCACGGGAATTCTGCGGGAACATCTTCCTCTGTGAACACTGGATGGGGGAAACATCTGCAACACAACTCAGAGATGGTATCAAGATGTTCCAGGGGAAGGTTTTAAGACCTCTGAGGAACATTTGAGGGAGCTGGGGGGGCTCATCCCAGAGAAAAGGAGGCTCAGGGGGGACCTTCTGGCTTGGCAACTCCGTGATAGAAGAGAGGAGCTGGGGGGGTCGGGCTCTGCTCCCAGGGAACAAGGGACAGGAGGAGAGGGATCGGCCTCAAGCTGTGCCAGGGGAGGGTCAGGTTGGACATCAGGAGGAATTTCTTCATGGAAAGGGTTGGAATGGGCTGCCCAGGGAGGTGGTGGAGTCTCCATCTCTGGAATTGTTCAAGAAACAACTGGATGTGGCACTCAGTGCTCTGGGCTGGTGACAAGCTCATGTTTGGTCGAAGGTTGGACTTGATGACCTTGGGGGTCTTTTCCAACCTTAAAGATTCCATGATTCTGTGATTTTATAATTCTTTGTTGACACTGGAACTGTCTGGGACAGAACCAAGCCCTGGCTCTGCAGGAGAAAAGCTCCAGAGCTGTGCCCTGGCTGAGGCATCTCGGATCTGTGGTGGCTCTCAACGATCTCATGGGACACACCAGCACATTCCCACATTATCCCTTCCCCGGCTGCCATTGGGAAGGACCGGGGAGGATCTCCAGGATGAGTTTACTGAGCCTGGGAGCTGCTTTGTGCTGGTACAGCAATGCAAAATGTGACAGGAGCTTGGCCTGCCCTGGAGGCCAAAGCTTTTAAACTCGAGCGAGAGAGAGGGGAAAGATGTTATCCATAAATCTGCCCCCCGGACACGGAAAGCCGTGCTCCTGGCAGGAATGTGAAGGCACGAGAGGCTCTCGGACTCCTGCAGGAGTTTGGCAGCTTTGTGACCATAATTAACACGTGTATTGCCGGGAATTCACGGAGGGATTCTGACCCAGATTTGGGATATTCCTCCCAAATCCTTTTGAAAACTTCTCAAGTAAAGGGAGAAGGAATCTTTTCGTGTAACATGTTGGGAGTGAGAGAATCGTGTAACATGTTGGGAGGTGCAAGAAAGGGGGGGGAAAAAATAAAAAATTGCAGGAATCTCTTTCCCATGCCCAATAATTTACTTTTAGATGTGCAGTAAAGATTTTACATGCACAATAATTTACTTTTACACATGCAGTGATGTTTTAACACATGTAATCATTCATTTTTATGCCTAAAAAGGCAACCAATTAAAAACCTGGGTGCTAAACATGCCTCCAACCAATCCTGAAGGTGTTTGCTTCGGAGTAAAGCTTTGCTTGTCCCCAACATCAACACTCTCCTGCAGGATTGTTGTTGATTTTCCAGCTGGTTCTGTCTCATTCCATGCACTGTGCTGGATTCTTTTCCAGTTTATCCCTGAAGAAAGTATGAACAGCTCCATGGGCTGTTGGGAAGGGGATCCGAGGGGCCACCTCACTTGGGATGACACCTGTTTTTCTCCAGAACATACCCCAGTCATCTGGGAGAGGAATATCAGCAGCAGGAAGAGTGGAGAAAATATTTAGAGGATCCTGGAATTGTGGAATGGTTTGGGTTGGAAAGGACTCAAAGATCATCTCATTCCAACCCCTGCCATGGGCAGGGACACCTCCCACTATTCCAGGTCGCCTCAACCTGGCCTTGGACATTACCAGAGATGGAGCAGCCACAGCTTCTCTGGGAATTCCATTCCAGTGCCTCACCACCCTCCCGAGGAAGAACTTCTTCCCAATATCCAATCCAAACCTGCTCTTCCAGTTTGAAGCCGTATTGGTGGGATTTTCAGTCAGTGGAGCTGAGCAATGACAAAAACCATTTATAGACCCCAAAGAGTCCATCCAGCTCAGAGGAGAAATTCCAGCTGCTGAAGGATCAGTGGAGAGAAACTTTGTCCAGAGACCCCAGATCTGCTTCCATCTTCTTTTCCATGAGCTGGCCCAGTCCGGTGGGGTTTGAGCCTCTGTTCCTCATGTGAATGTTCTGATCAGACAGCGCAAGTTTTGGGGTCTGTGTTGCCTAATTTTTCTTGTCTATTTAATTCCATACTTAATTGGAACAAAACATCCAGGATGTTGAAGTGTTGAACTCCAGGATGTTGAAGTGTTGAACTCCAGGACGTTGAAGTGTTGAACTCCAGGATGTCAAAAAGAAAGGGAGGGAAATGTTGTAAAGAAAGGGAAAGGTCTCCTCGTTGTCTCCCAGACTTCCCCCCTACAGAAAACCCTCTGCTGCTGTGAACTGGCAAATTCACCTGCCTTGGATAGTTCCAGGGGGATCTGAAGGAAAAAAGGGACTGGAAGAAATGAAGGAGTGGCTTCCAATATCCTGGAATCTCCAGGATGAAAGGCACCAGCTCAGGGGGTCACCTCCAAGCAGAGCTGTCCTGGTCTTTGTCCCGTTAGTGGCGACTCAGTTCCTTTGAGTGGGAATCTCAAATTACTGCAAACCTGGCGGATCCGAGGGGAGAAGTGGTGGAAGGGACTGGAAATACAAATAACAGCCTCCAGGATAGAGAGAAAAAAAAAAAAAAAAGAGGTTCAGAGAACCTTTTTCTTTGGACGATCTGGGGAAAGAAGAGGGTGGAGGGTCAAGTGTAATGAAACAATGCAAGTTGAAGCGTTTTCCTTCCGAACCTGAAAAATAAATTGGTTTCGAGTTCATAAAATTTAGTGGGAGCCTGATGCAACACTAAGGGGAAAAATTTCTTTTAGTCCAAACTCTCTATTTTTGCAGGGAAAAAAAATATGTTTCCATGGAAAATTTTTTTTTTGGAGGGTTCTGTTCCACTGGCTTTAACCACTGGCATGTCCAAGGCTCTGCTTACAGTGCAGGAAAATGAGGGGAAATTGGGGGAAATGTCAAAGCAGCACAACCTGTTTGCAAGCCTTGGGATGAAAAAACGATCTGGAATATTCATGGATCAACGTCCTGATGGAGGGGGAAGGAGCTGTGCTGGTTGGTGGTGGCTGGACCTTCACAACACTTCCCACCACAAAGGGGCTGAGCAGCACCTGTGTCTTAAAAATCATGGAATTCCAACCCCCTGCCATGGGCAGGGACACTTTCCATTATCCCAGGTTGCTCCAAGCCCCGTCCAACCTCGACCTTGAACACTTCCAGGGATGGAGCAGCCACAGCTTCTCTGGAAAATCTGATCCAGGGCCTCCTCACCCTCCTGGATAGCTCAGAGCAGCTCATCCATTATTTTCAAAGGAAAAGTAAAACCTCCTAAAGGATGATTCATCTGGTTAAAAAAAAATAGGAAAGGGGATGGGAAAATGTGTGGATGATGAAAGGGAATGGGTTAAAAAAAACCAACAAAAATGCCCCCAAAGTGGTGATTTCCCCCTGTTGAGAGTGTGAGAGTGGTTTGAAAAACCAGCTTGGCTTGGAGGCAAAGGGAGAACAGTGAGACACACATCAAATGTCCGGAAAAAAACAGGAACAGAGGACATTGAATTTGCACTGGAATGGGAGAAAATCAGCGAGATGAGCAAAAAAGACGTGAGGCGTCGCTGGGCAGTCGAGCTGAGGCCAGCAAAGAGTTTAAACACTTTGGGAACAGAAGGAGCTGTAATAACCACGGTATTGATTCCTCCTTGGAAGGGAAATGTGCAAAGCAGGCATTTTCGGGAGATATTTGTTTTGTATTTGGGGGGGAGAAAAGCAGATTTGTTTCTGATTAAAGCGAAGGGATGGTTTGCAGGCTGGCATTAAGCGTAGGACAGACTAAATAGCCCCTCTTAAAAATCACTGAGCTGAAAGCAGGTCTTAACTGTATCCAAGTTCTATCTGTGCTTGTAGTTATATCCAAGTTGTATCTACATCCAAGTGTTTTCTAGGATGTGGCCAAGGAGGGGTGTTGGTTTTCCAGATGCCCTGAAGGGCTGGGAATTCCAAAGGACGAGGAGAAAACTGGTGGTAGAAAGGGGACGACTTGGTTAATTATGGCCTGCCATTGATTCCCGGGAAAATGAAGGAGCACCTCACCAGGACTGGATTAATAAAGAATTACAGGAACATGATGCTAATCAGCAGGGGGTTATGGGAAATCGGTCTTGTCAAATTAAGCAGCTTTTATAAACACAATTAGGGGAGGGAGGATAATTAAGCACCGGAGGAGCCTGCGGAGGGTTGTGGTTGAGCCTCCGGGGGGAGATGTTTAAATCCAGGAGTTTTGTTTAATAAAGTGTCATTTGTGAAGAACAAACAGGAGTTTTGTCCTTTTCCCGGAGAGATTGGAATCCCAAAGAGTTTACCCACAACCGCCACGACCGCAGAGAACGTTCCTGCAGGCCAGGGAAATTGTGATATCCAAATTGTGATTCCGTGGAAAATTTGGTCACAGGGGTGGGTTTTTTACCCTCAAAGAAAGAAACTCCAACGTGGCTCCTCACCATGATGGTTGGACTTGCCATCCAAAGGGAGAGTTGGAAGGTGTTTTGTTATTGTAGGGTTGCACCTCAGTCACGGTGATCAACCAGCTCCTGCAGGGATTTGTGTTGTCCTCGTGTCACCGGTGTCCCCCCATCCCTCAGCTGGAACAGAGAGCATCCAGCAATCTTTGTTTCATGTATGGACTTTTTTTCCCAAGATATTATGTCTGGAATTCCCAGACATCATGACTTGGCACTGGTGAGGCCACACCTCAACTCCTGGGCCTCTCAGGACTGAAAGGACAATGAGGGGCTGGAGCGTGTCCAGGGAAAGGAACGCAGCTGGGGAAGGGTTTGGAGCACCAGGAATGGCTGAGGGAGCTGGGGGGGTTCATCCTGGAGAAAAGGAGGCTCAGGGGGGACCTTCTCACTCTCCAAAACTCCCTAACAGGAGGTTGTGGTGAGGTGGGAGTTGATATCTGCTCTCCGTGATAGGACGAGAGGAAACGGCCTCAAGTTGTGCCAGGGGAGGTTTAATTTGGATATCAGGGAAAATTCCTCCCTGGAAAGGGTTGTAAGGCATTGGAATGGGCTGCCCAGGGCAGTGGGAGGGTCAAGACCCCTGGAGGTGGCACTTAGAGACATGGTCTGGTGGACACGGGGGCATTGGGTTGAAGGTTGGAACTTGATGATCTTGGAGGCCTTTTCCAGCCTTAACGATTCAGCAATTCCATGAGTCCATGTGGTGGTTGTTGAGTTAGGTTTTGTTCTGGGAAAAGTCTCGTATCCAAAGGCTTTGGTGTGTTTGAGAAGTTCAGCTGAAGGTGTGTCACTCACAGGGAAAGCCCAGGATGAGAAAGTCCGTGGTCAGCCTTGGAAAAGCACCACTGCGTGGACAAGGTTTTCCCTGTGGTGCCAGGGAATTGTTTTCCGTGGTTAACACAGGATTTTTTTTAGGATTGTAGACCCGTAAAATGGCGATCTGGTTTTTTGGGAAGGTAAAAAAGGGAGTGGAGGACAGATCTGATGGTCTCCTGGGGCCTGAGGTGAGAAGGTGTGATGACACGCTCTGCTCTGCTCCTTACCTGGAATCTTGCATCCAGCTCTGGATACCTCAACACAGGAAAGATGTGGAACTGTTGGAACGAGTCCAGAGGAGGCCATGGAGATGATCCAAGAGCTGAAGCCTCTCCGGAGCCAGGCTGGGAGAGCTGGGGGTGTTCACCTGGAGAAGGGAAGGATCCAGGGAGACCTGAGAGCCCCTTGCAGGGCCTAAAGGGGCTCCAGGAGAGCTGGAGAGGGACTTGGGACAAGGGATGGAGGGACAAGGACACAGGGAATGGTTTCCCACTGCCAGAGGGTTAGATGGGATACTGGGAGGGAATTCTTGGCTGGGAGGGTGGTGAGGGACTGGGATGGAATTCCCAGAGACGTTGTGGCTGCCCCATCCCTGGAAGTGTCCAAAGCCTGGTTGGAAGGGGCTTGGAGCAACCTGGGCTAGTGGTAGATGTCCCTGCCCATGGCAGAGGGTGGAACTGGATGATCTTTGAGTCCCTTCCAACCCCAAACATTCCATGATTCCATGATTCTATGACTACTTCAGACAGTGACTGAAGGGATTGGCTCTGTGGTGTTGGGCAATGTCCTCTGAAGGCATCCGAGATGGAATGGTCTCTCTTCCACAGGCTGCAGGATGAACATGTTTTAACCTCAGACTCCGTATTTTTGGCTGTGGTGGGGACATGGTTACTGACTGTGCTGGAATCATGGAACGTTTTGGGTTGGAAGGGACCTTAAGGATCCTCTCCTTCCAACCCCCTGCCATGGGCATGGACATCAGGGTTGTTCTAGAGTTGTCTGTGACTTTGGGACCACATCCCATGGGCTGAGACTGAAGGATCACCAGGAATATCAGGCCAAGTGAAAAGTCTCCTCTCAGTGGAGATGCTCTGTTTTATTTGGGCTGAGGAATCCACTTGAACCTTTCTAATTTGCCCTATTTTTATGTGGATCCTCTGAAGCCATCCAAGATGGAATGGTGCCTTTTCCACAGGCTGCAGGATGAACGTGTTTTAACCTCAGGCTCTGTATTTTCGGCTGTGGTGCACAAGTGGCTTCTGACTGTGCTGGAATCATGGAACGTTTTGGGTTGGAAGGGACCTTAAGGATCCTCTCCTTCCAACCCCCTGCCATGGGCAGGGACACCAGGGTTGCTCTAGAGTTGACTGTGACTTCTAGACCACATCCCATGGGCTGAGACTGAAGGATCACCAGGAATATCAGGTCAAGTGAAAAGTCTCCTCTCAGTGGAGATGCTCTGTTTTATTTGGGCTGAGGAATCCACTTGAACCTGTTTAATTTGTCTTGTTTGGATATGGGGATAATTTTGATTGTGTTTTATGGGCGCTGGGTTCATTTTGCTTCCTGTAAATCGTCCCTTTAGTTACTGAGGCTTCTGGGAAGTTGTAAATTCTCCCTCCCTTCCTCTCCACGGAGTTTACGTTGTTTTACAGCTTCATTAATAGGTTCTCTCCCTGCTCGGTTGATGAAAGTTATTGACCTAATCATAACCTATTAATTATGGCAGTAAATCCCCGCTCCTGGAAATGTTTTACTGGGCAAATGTTACTCGGAAAATCCGCGGGTTAAACTGCAGGTCCAAGAACTTTAAATCCACCCTTCGCCAGCCCCCCCGGTCGTGGAGCTTCCTCGGGAGAGGCTCGGGATGGTTCTTATCCAGGGAGGATTCCTAAATATTGGCTCTACGTGGTTGGGTCTAACAGGGCAATTGGGGTGTGTTCCATGTTCTTCTGCCTGGTAGAATCATGGAATCACTTCGGTTGGAAAAGACCTCTCAGATCAGTGAATCCAACCATTCCCAGCACTGACCATGTCCCCAGGTGCCACATCCACATGGCTTTTAAATCCCTCCAGGAATGGTGGCTGCACTAATTCCCTGAGCAGCCTCTTCCCGTGCTTGGGAACCCTTTCAGTGGAGAAATTTTTCCTGGTATCCAACTTAAACCTCCCCTGCTGCAACTTGAGGCCATTCCCTGTTTTCCTGTTTTTTACTTGGGGGAAAGAACATTTAATAAGCAATATACTGACTTCTGTCCCAGACTGCGGGACCATCAGAGGTGGAGGAATATTCCCAGGATCTTCCCAGAGAGGTTGTGGACTCCCCTGGAAATGTCCAAGGCCAGGTTGGAGCAATCTGGGATAGTGGAAGGTGTCTCTGCCCATGGCAGGGGGTTGGAAGTGGATGATCTCTAAGATCCCTTCCAACTCAAACCATTCCATCATTCTACAAAAGGCTTGGGATGAAAAAATCCCTGGAGATTTCACCCATCACCCACTGCCAACCTGCAAAGTCACTTCCAACCCAAACCATTCCATGATTCCACAAAAGGCTTGGGATGCAAAAATCCAGGGGGATTTCGCCCATCACCTACCAATGACCTTGGAGGTCACTTCCAACTCAAACCATTCCATGATTTCTCCAGGAAAAAAAGATGATAAAATATCACACAGCCTGATTTTGTGAGGGAGGTGTTTTTGTATCCCTTTAAGCCAGAGGAGAAACCTTTCTCT